ACAACAAACTCTGGAGTCTCCCCTTTTTGAGGAGAAAATGGGGTCCAGTGGGTAAGTACTCTCCTAAAAGGAGGAAGAGCTGGGATCGGCATCCAAGGGTCCTAATTCCACCAGATTCACTCTAATCATTTTTTTCCCCTTTTTTCTCCATCCCATGAAAAATAGCGGCCAATTCCCATCCATTCTGGGGAGTGGCAAGACTCTGGCGATGAGGAATGCTGGCCAGTGGGTTCTACAATATCTCCATTTTAGTTCGTGCAAGCCCCGGCCTTCCCCTATTCTGTGGACTGTCAGGAGAAAGGGGTAGGAAAGGTACAGGCCAGCTGTATCAAACCTGTTCTACTCACTCACCTACGGAAGTCCTGAGGCTGTACGTAGATGGGGTTGAACCGGTAGATGCCAGTGGTGAGGTTCGCATAGTGTCGGCTGTCTGTGTTGGCAATACAAGAAGCTAGAAAGGGAAGATCAAGAGAAATGGGGTTTTATGCGAACAACCAAGCCAAGGAAGTGGTAAGAGGTGGGCTGGCTGGAAAATTAGGACCTGGGTCACTGAGGAGCAAGGCCTGCAACCTCCTGGAAACCTGCAGCTATGAATGTTGGTCCTTCTGCCTACCCATTCTCAAAACCTTATTGAAACGCCATTTCAGCCAGAAATATGGAGGCTCCTCCCTAGGGCATTAGGGAGCTATCCCTTGATTGGTCCAAAGCTAAGTGTCCTCTCTCCATAATGACCAGGGAGGCCAAGACCTTCATTTCATACACATAGCCAGGCTATTTTAAAAATCTAGATAGCCAGAGGGCCGGCCGAGTGGCTCAGTTGGTTAAGAGCTCGCTCAAGAGTTTGATTGAGCTCTGAGCAACAGCGGTTCGATTGCCGGCCCGAGCTGAGCAGCTGCTAAGCTGCCAACAGGTGGCAGGATGGCTCAGCTTAAAAAAAAAAATCTAGATAGCCAGAAATCTAGATATCACTTCTTTATTGCCTTGACTTTCTTCTGTATCATCCTAGATCAGAAAGAAATAAACACCTTCTGGGGAATTTTACTGCTATAAAATGCAATCCCCTTAAAGTGGAATATAGCTTTCTGTTATTCTCACCCTCTGTCTTCTGAGAGTCAAACCTCAGGTCTAGAAAGTCCCAGGATACTCTTCAGTGTCCTACTTTCCTGACGCAGCTCATCCCACTCCCCGGCTGGGGCTGGGACTTATCCCCAGTAGGAATGTTCTTTGGAAAAAGACCCCTTTTCCCAAAGCATCAACTGAAATGTGGTGGGATGATATGAGATGGTAACTTGTCTTTTGTTCTATTTTCCACTCCAGGTTTCACACGGGTAACTAGGCTCTTCTCAATTCCTTGCTTTAGGGATTTCTACCAGTGGATTGCTGCCTATCTTTTTTTCTGTAAACGCCTAACTCTGTGGATGGGATTATGGCAGATGTCCCAGAAGGGAGAGGGTAAGGTAGAAAGCCTTTGAGGGCCAAGAGAGGAGAACATGGAATGGTGAGAGCCAGGGTCCCTGGATTGTGGGGACCCAGGTCCTGCTGTTGCAGGAGTCTGAGGAGGTGGCAGATCTCAGTGGGGATGGGGATGGCTGCCCGGTATCTTCAGGGAGGTGGGATCTTAGGTCTAGAATCAAAGATCTCACTCCCCAAACATGTCAGGGAATGAATCAGAGGACATCTCTAATCTGAAGTGACCTTGTAGCTAGGACGATGGATGGCTCAGAGGTAACCACAAGGAACAATGACCTCTGGCCAAGGGACTCCAATGTTATGTTGCTACATAAGACCTTGAGGGTCTGATTCACGGTAGAGAAACTTGGATGCCTCAAAAATATCTGAGGTTGAATTTTGTGAGGAGTGGAGCTTACAGTCAGATTTAAGTTGATTAAAAAAACAAGGCTGTTTTTTTCACGCCTGAGTTTGTGGATGTAGAATTTCACTGTAAGCTTTTTAAGGGCCCATGCCTAGCAGAGGAGCAGGTCCTAAGTACGAGCTTAGACAATGTTTGAGGGAACCCATGATTAAACCTAGATAAAAGGAAACTGGATCCAGCTCTTAACATTGGAGCATCTCCTCCTCACATCATAGACCAGACATCCTTAAATTGTGGCCAGCCATCATCTGGTGTCAGAATCCCTTGGGGTAGTTGCTCTAAAGGCAGATTTCAGGGTCTTCTCCAGAGTTGGTTAACCCAAATCTTTGGGAATAGGTCCAGGCAATCTGCATTTTAATAAATTCCTTAGGGGATCCTCTTTCACTCTTAAATTTGAGAACCACTGTATACACAGTGTAGATTTGGAAAGGATGCTGGGAGACTAGGGAAGGTGCATAGAGGGGTTGCTGCTGGGAGAGGAGAAAGAGGTTAATGTAAATGGTGTAGGTCAGGAGGTGTTGCTGGGCTTCCGATTCTGAGCCCGGCTGTTGAGCTGTATCTTAGAAAGGATCAGAGCCAGACTGGCAGGAACTTGGCCCTCTCTGTGGCTCCTCCAGAGGATGGGGAGTCAGGCTGACCCTTTCCTCCATACTAGAGTGGCTGGCCTAGGTTAAGCAAGAACCCAGGCTTGAATGACCTAATTTATTGTTTCCGCTCCTTTCCTGTTTGCTTTCTCACTTCCACTCCAAAGGGAAAATACAGTTCCAGTCTCATCAGGAGAGGAAGCAGCCAGCTGTTTTCAGGCTGAACAGCTGGGGTGGGGTGGGGGTGGGACAGTGGACATTGGTTAGGAGAGAGTTCCAACCCCAACCTCCCTCCAGCCACAGCTGATGAAGTCATTACCTGGGGCAACAATGTTGATTTCCGGGAAGACTGATTGTAAGGTCTGGAGGAGCAGCTGGTAGCCCAATGCCTGATCATCAGAAGGGCTGTCAGGCAGGGGCTCATGGGCATTCAACACGTGGAACTGGACCCGGTCATCAGCCACAGTGTTCTTGACTAGTTCAAGGACCTCCAGGGAGGAAGCAAAGGAAGTTCAATTTCTTATTAATCTGCTATCCAAGTACCACAGGAATTTAAACAGTCCTGATTTCTCTCAAGCAAGGCAGATCCCTGGAGTAACAGAGGAGACTCATCGTAACACTAGGACCTAACTTCAGCCGACTGGCTATAGGAGATAGAAGAGGTAGGTCTTCCGGAAAGCACTCTACAGCATGGTTGATTTAGGCTACGTGTTTGGGAGGCTTGCCTCATAGCCACGAGGCAGTTGGGGAATTGGAAAATCAGGAAATATGTGTCTTTCCCCTTGGGTTGTGAGCCATGGGCTGGGTAATATTGTAGAAGAGTCAGCAGAATGCAAATCTCAAGGCAGGGGGACAGATGCGATGACCTCACTTCAACCTGGGATAGTCTCAGACAGGTGATGAACAGGTCACACACTTTTCTTTCCCCTCTCTGGGCATCCTTGTTTCCTGTTTGTAACCAACTGCACTGGAGCCAGGAAGATGAGCTCAACACAGACAAAAAGTCAGGAGTTGGGGGAGTGGTAGTCAAGTTTTCTCTCTTTACCTCCTTTCCTCCGGAAGGAACCTGAGGAAGCTCCTAGAAAATTCAGTCGGCAATGACTAGAGCTGAATCCAGCAAAAGTTCTGGCAGGATGTAGACCAGACCCTAAGGATCAGGTCACATGGAGCCATGTGGGAATGGATCAGGAGGCTGGCTTAGGGCGGCCCCCAGACCCACCCAGCCACCCAGGGAAAGCTCCAGCACTAGTCTCAACCCACTTGATCAGCAGTTGCTTTAGAACTGCCTCTGCCCTTGATAGGGGAGTGTCCCATAGCTGGGGATCACTTAAATGGGGGTCTTTTCTCAAGAATACCCCCTATAGGTCAGTATCCCCTAGAAGCATGCTAGAAGCCGAGTCTGGAAAGGAAATAAGGGTTTTTATTTCTGGCTTAGAAACCACCATTTGAGCCAAACCAAATACCCGCTTTTGGATTTGTGGGGGAGTGGTCAACTCACTTAGAGCTTATTTTCACTCTAGCACAGCGGTTCTCAACCTGTGGGTCACGACCCCTTTGGGGGTCGAATGACCCTTTCACAGGGGTCGCCTAAGACCATCGAAAAAACAAAAAGCTATTTACATTACGATTCATAACAGTAGCAAAATTACAGTTATAGAGTAGAAACGAAAATAATTTTATGGTTGGGGGTCACCACAACATGAGGAACTGTATTAAGGGGTCGCAGCATTAGGAAGGTTGAGAACCGCTGCTCTAGCACTTATGCCCCAAATATTGTAATACAAAAATTAATATAGTATTGAGATTGTCTCAACCCGAGGTCATTCTCTATCTATGACGTGGGTTGCAACTGTGTCCACTGCCCCCTGACCCAAGTTACTTAAATTCCTGCCCCAGAAATTGAAGAGGGCACACAGATTGGACCCCTTCAGTGAGAGGCCACAGAAGTCCATCTTCTTACTAGCTGCTAGGCCAGGGGTTCACCCCACGCTTGATGCAAGGCAAGTCCTACGTCTACCTCATTTCTATGCTTCTAGTATCAAGAACACGAAAGCCATGCAAGAAATGTGAAATTTAAAAGATGTGAACCAATAAAAATAATACCCGGAGTTGTCTCATTAAGCAACTTGCCCAGGGTTATACAGTTAGTACTGCTGGGTTGGGTGTCTGAACCCCGTCTGTCTGATTTCACCAGGGCAATGTTTAACTGCTTCCCAAGTACATACAGGTTGAGGTGGTGAGAAGTAGAGCCAGCAAGAGGGTGGTGTTCATTTACGACAGGTTCCTTAATGGTACAAATTTTGAGCCAGAATTTGAAGGAAGGATATAAAACTGATGGAGAAAAGGCAAGAGGCAGTCTGTCTGAACATGGAAAGGGGCATGCACATAAACTGAGGGGTGACACCAAACTTTGTGCCTCAGCCAGCCACTTATTGTTGTGCGACCTTGTATAAGCTCCTCAGCCTCTCTCTGCTTTAGCGTGCTCATCGGTTAACAGGTAGAAAAGAGTAGCACCTACCTGGTAAGAGGTGGTGATCATTGCTGGATTAATATATGTACTAATGTGCTTAGGCCAGCGCCTAGCACATAGTAAAGACTCAATAAGAGTTAGCTGCTATTTGCCTGTTTAGAATAGAGGAACTGCCCTAAACAATAATCAGAGGCACAAGAATGGGACTAGAATGGGGGTTGTCAATGGTAAGAGGGACCCCAAAGATTACTTTAGAGTATATCAATCTCTAATTTCTCTAAACTTCTACAGTCCTTATAGCACATTCCCATAACATTATGTTGTTCTCTGTTTTATGTGTAGATATATTTTCCTCTCAAGTGGATTGTACATTTGTTGAAGTCAAGGACAATGGATACTTAAAAATTGGTAAGTCCAGCTTCTATCCTGCTGTAAGGCTGCTCATTAGAACACCCATGACAAGTTGTCATCCAATCTGTGCTCAGATACTTACAATGGCAGAAAGCGCACCATCACGTTATATTCCATTCCACCTTTGAGCAATTCAGTTATGAACGTCTTCCTTATAATGAACTGAGATATGGCGTCCTGTAGCATCTAAGCCCAATTCTTCTTTTTTTTTTTTTTGATATTGCATGTACTCCTCAGGATATAATAGAAGTAGACACATCATAAACATCTAGCAGAATTTCACCTCTGTTGAAATTAGAGGCCTACATTCTTGCTGCCTGAATGCTGTTCCCTAGCTCTGTGCGCCTTCTCAGGTCTCAGTGTAAATGCCTCCCGAGGGGACTGGCCACTGTATTTAGAGCTGCTCACTGCTCCACCCCTACCCCACAACCACTTTGTGACACATCATCCTATAATTTTCTTTGTGGTCCTTAACCTCTTAAAGTAGCACCTTGTTCATTTATTTGATTACTTGCTTGTTGCTGTCTCTTCCCCACTAGAACATAAGCACTATTGGAATGGGAGTCTTGGCCATCTTGCTCACCATTTTCCCAAGTGTTTATAAGCATGTCTGCACCATAGTAGCCACTCAATGAACACTTGGGGGATGGAGGAAGGAATCTTCTCTATTACACTATAGATAGGTGGACATCCAGCCTCTGAGGAGCTCATTACTACGCAAGCCTCATATTCCAAAACTCTCCTGTAAGTGAGGGCTCCCTGAAGCACCTCCCAGTGGCCTTATTTCTACCCCTTGAGGCTCATTCAGAACAAACCTCCCTCTTCACATTACATTTCTGAAGACTCTTGTTCCTCATAGATAGACTATGGAGACATATCTACATCCATAACATGGGAGAGACCAGTTAAAGACGGAGGAGGAGGAGGACTCTAGGAGCTGTTTATTTTCCTGCAGGATCAGCCTAGGGCTCTGTACCCATGGCCCTCAGACCAGCAGGGAGTGTCCCTGATGGATGGAACTGGAGCACGAGGGAGAGGCGCTACTGGGACAAAGGCTGCTGTGTGCTTTCGGGATGATGGAGGCTTTCCATTCCTCACTGGGCAGGTGGGCAGGATGGGGCTAGGGATTCCAGAGCTTTCATCAGATCGATGGGGAAGGAAGGCCACTGTGGCAGGGGACTAGAAAGGAGGGAAGAGTGCCAGCGCCTGCGGAGATGAAAGCCCCAGCTGCTGGAAACAGCCCTTAGAAAGGGCATGGAGTTAGAATGAGGCTGGAAAAAAACTGGTGGAAAGAAGCTCATTGAGGGGAATTCAGTGATTTCCTGGCCCCATGAGCCCCCCAGGGAGAGGACAAATGTTGGCACGTGATGAAAAGCAGCGGAGCCCAGGGCTCACACCGATCCCAGCTCCCCCGCGCCTCCCCTCGATGCTGGGTGACTCTGGGCAGGCTGTTAACCTGTTTCCTACCCTCTGCAATGAGGGTGGTGTCTCCCACCCTGTGTGACAAAAAAAACAACAACCAACAAAAACCAAAAAAACAAAACTTCCGTGGGGAAGAACTTAGGCAGAAAGGACCACGGATGTCTAAGTGTGGCTGACCCTTGAGAATCTGTGCCAGATACCCAGGAAACATCAACCACCCCTACTCTGCTTAATTCTGGAATGTATTATTCACCTGATAGTTGTTCAGTTGCCTCTTTTCATCATTTTTTGAAGGATCAGATTTAGCTTTTGAATTCTTTGTAGCTCAACCTGATGTTTAAAAAAGCTGGCCTTTCCTGTAGATGTCAAACATTCTGTGTAACTTCTAGTCGTTCTTCAGCCTACAGCTCAAATGTTACTTCCTCAGGGAAGCCTTGCCTGATCCACAAGGTCTGGTTCCTCATTATATTCCGTAATAGCACCCAGTCCCTTTTGGTCATAGTGCCCATTGCGGTTTTCCATTATACATCACTGTTATAAATTTTAAGTTGATGTTTGTAGCAGACCATTGCAAGGCTCTGTCCTCAACTCTCGTCTCCCCTAACTATACACATCCTTCCCACGGGATTTTATTGACGCTAGAGGTTTCAATTATGTTAATAGCCCTCCAGCCTATATCTCCAGTTCACTCTCTCTCCAGACCTGAGATATTTGTAATTGCCTACTAATACATTATAACCTTCTCAATCTTCTGAACCATTGTGTTTCTCTGCAAACTTGCTCTTCTTGAATTCTCAATCTTGGTTAAAGGTATCAGCATCTGGCCAACGACCCAGGTGAAAAACCTTGGAGTCATCCTGCCTTCTCTCGCCTCACATCCATTACACACCACATCCTGCTCAACCCATCTCTCTCACACTTCTTATGGGCGCCCTCTTCTCTGCCTCATGACCACAGCCTTAGCTGAGACCCTCATCCCCACTGCTTGAGATGTCACCACAGCTTCCTCTCTCTTCCTGCTCTAGCACTCCCTCTGCATTGCCACCAGCATTAGCCCCCCTAAAAGCAAATCTGAGCAGATCACTGCCTTGTTTGAAGACCTCTGTTAGTTCCTTTCTGTCCACAGATGAGAACCCAAACCCATCAGCACATCTGTCCACAGATGAGGGCCCAAACTCATTAGCATGACATATAAGGCTTTGATCCCCAAACTACACCTCTATTTCCATCTCCCTTCACTTCTCCCCAATCCATCCTACTCTTCAGCCTTATTTTACTGGCTCTGAATGCCTTACTTCTAGCAGTCCTATTTGTCCTTTAAGTCCCAGCTCAAATTTCCAGTGGTCAGAAAAGACTTTCCTGACCCTCAGAGGTAGCATCAGTTCTCTTCTTCAAACTGGTCCTATGGGCATTTGTTCATCTTGAATTGTTAAAATCATAGTATAGTGTGGTACCTTAAAGCATAGAAGTCTGGAACTAGTCTGCTAGATGTGTAATCTTGGGCATGTTTCTTGCCTGCTCTGTTGATCTGTGCCTGTTTCCCCGTTAAATGAGGATAATACAGTTTCTACCTCATAGGGTGGTCATGCAGATTAAATGAGTGTGTATATATGTTAGGACAGTGCTATACACATAGCAAGCCCAGTATGTTGGCTACTATTCTTATCATTTATTATTATCCATTGCCTACTCTAAGTTCCCCCACACCAGAGATCTCCTAACATAGCCAAGTACCTGGTACATAGGAAGACTTTGAACAATGTTGGTTGAACAAATGAGAGATGGGCAAGCCCTGGGATTGCAGCTAAACCTGAGGGCCATACATCCCTGATACTGAACCAGTTATCTGGAACATATGGTACATACCTCTTGAACTGTCTGTGAAGGGTGAATCCGGAAGTTGACTGTGGCCTGGGCCACCGAGGGGATGACATTCACCTAGAGGGAGAACCATAAACCCTGGCCTGAGCCAATCTCAAATTCACACACCTGATCCCTGCCAACTACCAATTACCAACTACCCACTACCACCAGTAGAGAGAGAGGAAGCAGATTGGATTTAAAGGGCTGGGGCTTAATTTTTTTAGTCAGCCCCTTGTCTTCCCTGGGCCCTTGCCAGGTGGTTGTGTTCAGAGTTAGAGGTGTGTCTCTGCTTTAGGGTAGACTTTTGTGCTTCTTGATGATCACAAGGAGCTGCTTAGAGCAAGAGTGCTTTCTTTGTGACCACTCAGACATCTGTTTTGGCCCTGGGCAGCGCCATTGGCAGTCATCTGTGTGCACTCACCTTCCCAGGGTGCCCAGGACCTTTCTGCAGGGGTGAGAGTCAGTGCTTACTCAGGACAGGGCATCGGCACGGGTAGCCTCCGCAGGCGCCATCACTGCGTGTTCAATCCCTGAAGGGGATCATGATAGTGCTGGTGGTGGTTTCTCACATCTAATTGTGAAATTTGACTCTGTTCTTTGCCTGACAAGGAAGAACCCGGACTAACTGCAGAAGGGAGTTAAGCTCTGGTGGGATTTTTTTTCCCTTGGAGGCCATGAGAGAACAGACTCCCCAATTACATATCTTTCTTTGAACTGGTGTGGTGCAAAAAAGCACTAGACTAGGGACAGGAAAACTGGGCTGTTACAAAGGAGCTAATTTTGAATAAGTACAACTTCTTTATGCCTCTATTTCTTAACTGGCAATCGAGGCAATAATACTCATAGAGCTGTTAGGAGGATCAGATGGAGTAACAAATGTTAAAAGTACTCTGGCCAGAAGAAAACACCATCCAAATGCAAGAACATAGTACTATTATTTTGGTGGACACTCTAGGCATCTGGGGAAGACAGCTCAGGTCTGGCTGACACACTGGACACTCCAGTCATCTGTGCCAGGAATTAATTCTGAGGCACCATTCACTCCCACTCAACCTGGGCTCCAGATTAGCAGAGTTCCACAAGGCCACACTGTAGTCTAGGTCAGGCGTCGGCAAACTTTTGAGACGGAAGAGCCAATCCTGTCCCTCACAACAATTTAAAAATTATTTGAGAGCCATAAATCTATTTTTACAAATAAGGAAAATTTAAAGTAATATTATAACAAGTAATAGTATTAATTATATCTTTATTAAAATAAGAAAAATTCACACATGTACATACCCAAAGAGCTGCATGTGGCTCGCGAGCCGCAGTTTGCCGGCCCCTGTTCTAGGTGAATGTGTTCCTTGAAGTTGTGTTGGTGATGCTGGTGGTAATAGGAAAGGTCTAACTAACCCCTTTCAAGGTTTCAGAAAGGCCTAGGCCCATGCCAACTAGCGTGGCTTGGCTTCCTTTTAAAAGAGGTGCCCCTGCGTGGCCAATCCAACTGGAAGCAGACCCATTTGCTGAAAAGTAGTTCTTGGAATAAATATTTATTAAAGTATTGATTCACCTGAAACTTATTTCTATAAAAGCAAACCTCATATAGAATTTATGTCTGCTAAGGCCACCCGATATTTAGTGTAGTTTGGGAATGACAATGTGAATATTTTAAGTGCTATATACATCACAAATATAGATTTTATAAATGGCTGGAGAGTTTCTCTTTCTCAACTCAGGGGAACACTAGGGGAAAACACATTAATCACTCATTAAATCTGTTAGGTGGGTATATCTTTCAAAACATGAGGAAGAATAAAAAAAAGACCTTTGGCGGTAGAAAGGTTAGAAAACTTTAGTCTATAAGATCAAAATGTGAGGTAAATATATAACATGTTGAATGAGTATAGGTTGCAAGAATTAACTCCCAAATAAACCCACTTCACACGAGTGTAATGGCTGTTTTTTGGTACAGATCCAAAGAACCTGAGGGGAACCATGGATACCCCCTAAAATACTAATATACAACATTTGGCCAGCAATTTCAGAGAGTTTGTAGATCTCTTGCTCTTGAGGGTTACCCAACGGATGACACAGGACAATTCAGCACTCAGCCTTCTTATTATTTCAATTCTAACCAAGGAGAGGAGGAGGAGCCAGGAGCTAAAGCCAAGGGACTGAGGTGTATGGGAGGGACCAGGCAACGTTACCTTGACCCCTGAATTGAACATGGTGACGGCTGTAGTGGTCCTGAGCAGCGCATTCATTACGTAATTCCTGTCCATTAATCTAAAGGAAAAGGGACGAAGGTCAGGTGTTGTCCAATGGAGAGAAAAAAAATGGGCTGGAGGATCACCCCCTTTCCTGAACCTTGGAGATCTTTAAGACGAGGAGAGACATCCGATATAAACATCAGATACAGTGTCTGGTGGCTGAGGGACAATTACTAGTCAGGCCCAGGTAAGTCAAGAAGAGGGCAGTGGGCGGGGGGTAGGTGTGGGGTGGGGGATGTGATGGGAGGAGAGAGAAAACTTTACCTTCGTACAAGGGGCCAAAATAGCCACAGGTTGTTCAGCACTATGTTGGTAGGGAAGGAAAACTGAAAAGGGAAAGAACCAGGTCAGCGGGATTTCAGAGGGGTCAGCCGAACAGGGCACTGTACCTAAGGCCTGGGTCTGGGCCCACTTTAGCGCTGCCTTGAGGGCCCTCAGCTGCAGCATTAAGGATGAGTGGGAACCAACTCCCAAAGGGTGCCTGGGTATGTTAGGTCTTAGGGTCTCAGATAAGCATCAAGAACCAAGAACCCCAAGGAACAAGATCCTTGCGGCTTGGCTCAGCCACTGGCTGGGAATTGGTGAGAATGGGCAGAGCACTGGTAAGCAGTAGGGCCCTTTTATTACTCTAAAGGCTACTTCTCCGCCACCCTCTCTTCCTCTTCCACAGCTGACCAGTAGGGTATGTGCGATTTCTTCCCACACCTCATTAGCCAGTTGCTGCAATAACCTCTTCAACGGCCCATTTCCAGACATGTTCGGCAATGGGTTCTGCTCCAGTCTGGAAGAGAAACGGAGTTCTCAAGACTTACCCAACCGCAGTCAAAGATCAGTGGTCTGAAGAGGAGGAGGAGGAGGGAGACAGGACGTTTCAACAGGCCTGGCCGGGTCTCCCATTCACCTCCACCAATCTAACCATTCGAACTTCTGAAAGCAGGACCGCTGCCTCTACTCCACCAGCAGGAGCTGTCTCTGTCTACCAAGTCCAAGTCGGGGCACCTCCACTCTCACACCACTTACTATGCACTAGCGGAATTGTCAGTCTCCTCTGTTAACTGGGAGTTCCTTGAGGAAACAGGCTGTCTATCTTTTCAACCACTGTATGCCCATCATCAGGCACAAAGCCTAAATATGGTAGAGTCAGTTGAATATTTAATTCAATAAATATAGTTCTTCTT